CTGTACACTGCTTCTGAGGAGACGTCTCTGCAATATAGTTCTCGGTGTTTTATAACCGGATGAACACCACAGAATGGTTGTAACGTTTTATAACCGGATGAACACCGAGGAATGGTTGTGACGTTTTATAACCGGATGAACACCACAGAATGGTTGTGACGTTTAATAACAGGATGAACACCACAGAATGATTGTGACGTTTTATAACCGGATGAACATCACAGAATAGTTGTGACGTTTTATAATCGGATGAACATCACAGAATGGTTGTGACGTTTAATAACCGGATGATGTACTTTTTTTAACTATGTGAATATATTTTTGTCATCCTGTACACTGCTTCTGAGGAGACGTCTCTACAATATAGTTCTCGGTGTTTTATAACCGGAAGTTAAAAAAAGTACATCATCCGGTTATAAAACGTCACAACCATTCTGTGGTGTTCATCCGGTTATAAAACACCGAGAACTATATTGCAGAGACGTCTCCTCAGAAGCAGTGTACAGGATGACAAAAATTATATTCACATAGTTAAAAAAAGTACATCATCCAGTTATTAAACGTTACAACCATTCTGTGGTGTTCATATGTGAATATATTTTTTGTCATCCTGTACACTCCTTCTGAGGAGACGTCTCTACAATATAGTTCTCGGTGTTTTATAAATTATTTGATTAAAACATAATTTATGAGCTGAAAACGTGTTTAAGCCAAGACTATTGTGAGATGCAGACTAGAAAGAAAAACGAGTCATGTCAAGGCTATGTTTAACAGAGCTTGCTCTATAAAATCTAAACATGTCACGAACACGTGTTAAATGGTATAGCACACCTGATGGGGTTAAGTTAAACTATAGCATTCAGTTGGCAATTAAAACAAATCATTTATCAAAGTTTATGTCAGACATGTGGAGACATTTAGTGAATTTAACATTTGAAAGATTTTTAATATCAACTTCGAGTATGAATATTATCTATACCTTGTTAAACAAACTAATGAATTCATTTCGCTTTCAGAAGTTAAAATATAGCACGAGAACTGTAAGCTATTATAACCAGGTGGCACTGATGTTTTTCTTACATAATTACCCCCTGGTGTCTCAGCGGTAAGTCAGTGGGTTTATAATGCTCTGGATCGGATTTCGATACCCACTGTGGGCAGAGCACAAATAGCCCACAGTGTGGCTTTACAACAAACAAACAAACAATCTTACATAATTTTGTCTGTGAAAATGAATATTATTTCTTTCAGTGATTATTAGTTGACCAAGCTTTGGTGAGAAATCAGCGAAGTACCTTAGATATTGTATTATTAAAAAGGCTTCGTCGGCACTGGATATGGCACGTGTGATTTAGTTAACATATAGCATGCTTTCACTGCTGGAATATTTGAATGAAATACTTTGTGATACGATAGACTAAGTCACGAACTTTATAATAACTATGGCGTCTGCAACCCTAGAAAACATCTTTACGAGACAGCAGGTATTAAATGTTACTTGGCACCAATTTCTTTAGAGTGTATATAACAACTACTACGCTAATTTTACACGTTCTCTTTATCTCAATAAACGTTTCACAGGCTCTCACGTGTAATGTTTATAGGCCAGGTTTTCGCTCGTCCTTAGTCTAGGAACCGATGTTCTAGAATCTACAGGTCGTCTTTGTTATATTTATGTAGACGGGTTAGTTGCTGTTCTAATTAACAAACAGACAGCATCTGCACGGAAAATAATAATAACTAATGGACGACCTTCCAAGAAGTTTAATAAAATAGAAATCAAATCGATGAGCTGAACTCATTTCACGTCTTTAACTGACAAAATATAAGGGGAAAAATAACCTTCCACGAAGTCCTCCAAACGTACAGACTAAACCATTAAAACATGTACAAGTGAAAGGTTGGAAACAATCCCGCTGATCTCCCTCTAGCGTGAGCGCACGTGCCATCTCTCACCAGCCTCACAGAGCAAAGGTGCGTGTACCTTGTGTAGCTGTTGTTCTACAGGGCGCATGCTTGTTAAAAGCTAACTCATCTATCCAACGGGCGTGATCTTGATTATTATGGACTGTTAACATACTGGGTGTGGTTACCGTGAATACATGAACCCCCCCCCCCACACACACACACTCTAGAAGCTTGCATTGTTTAAAAAATGGAAATTAGTTATGTATGATGTAAGTATGTTTTTCTTCCATAACTAGATCACTTTAAATGTCTTAAACATCACGTGTCGGAAGTACTTTGAACAGCCGCTTTTATTTACTTTTACTTTGAAAATGTTGCAAAAGCTGACATTTATTCATAATAGGTACGTAATATATGGGTGGGGGGGGGGGACCAGATTTTCAAATAATAAAGCCTGGACACACTTGTGTTTTCAGACCTTAAGGGTGAGACCCTCTCCTTGTTTTTTTTTGAGAAAATTATAATATCCAATCAGTTATGTAAATAATAACTAGATGATGACGTGAAAAGGATTTCGTCAATCTACATTGTTGCTGCTACAGATATCTGTGACGAGTGAATATAATGTGAAAAGGATTACTTTAACCTACATTGTTGCTGCTACAAATATCTGTGACGAGTGAATATGACGTGAAAAGGCTTACTTTACCTACATTGTTGCTGCCACAGATGTCTGTGACGAGTGTATATGACGTGAAAAGGCTTACTTTACCTACATTGTTGCTGCTACAGATATCTGTGACGAGTGAACATGACGTGAAAAGGATTACTTTACCTACATTGTTGCTGCCACAAATATCCGTGACGAGTGAACATGATGTGAAAAGGATTACTTTACCTACATTGTTGCTGCCACAGATATCAGTGACGAGTGAATATGACGTGAAAATGATTACTTTACTTATATTGTTGCTGCCACAGATATCAGTGACGAGTGAATATGACGTGAAAAGTATTACTTTACCTACATTGTTGCTGCTACAGATATATGTGACGAGTGAATATGACGTGAAAAGGATTACTTTACCTACATTGTTGCTGCCACAGATATCTGTGACGAGTGAGTATGATGTGAAAAGGATTACTTTAACCT